CCACTGTACCAAAATCGACACCAAGTCGTCTGCATAAACTTCTTAAATATGGATAAACATCTGAAATTGACGAAAAATTGTCCACAAATTAAAAATGTTAGTAAACAAATAATTCGTATCAAATATAATGAAGGTTACGCTATATTTTTATTATTTGCGTGAGACATTAAACAGTAAAAATGCATATTATCATTATGACCCCTGACTTTTTTCGTAATGTTAATTTTCCATAGGTCTCTGGGAGTTATTCTTACTGTTAATGCAAGTGTACCACGTGACTAAGAATTGTGTACTGTTACATAGGTAACAGTACTTTTTAACAGACTGAGTATAAAATCTGGTCACGTGGCCTATTTTCTAAATAAAATGAAATAAAATGGCCACCATCTTTTTCTCGATTCATTCTTATTTTCGACGTTCACTACAAAATCATTACCAAAGTAACTATGACTCTCATAAAATTAAGTTGATTGCACCGTGGAGTGCTTTTCGTGTATAAAATATCTTTTTGTTGAATAGTCAAAAAATAAACATCCGTTTTCAACGGCAGTAATTGCAATGTGAATAATTATATGTCAAAGTGGAACATGCAGACGATTTAATCGTCTGCATGTTCCAGTTTGACACAAAATTATTCACACTATAATTATTTCCGTTGAAAACGGATGTTTACTTTTTGACTATTCAACAGAAAGATATTTTATACGCGAAAAGAACTCTAGGGTGCAAAGAACTAAAATTTATGAGAGTCATAGTTACTTCGGGGATGCTCTATCGTCGAAAATAAGAATGAATCGAGAAAAAAATGGCGGCCATTTTATTTCATTTTATTTAGAAAATAGACCCATGTGACCAGATTTTATACTGTTAAAAATACTGTTACCTATGTAACAGTACAAAATTCTTAGTCACGTGGTACACTTGTATTAACAGTAAGAATAACTCCCAGAGGCCTATACGGTAATAACACATGGGTTTGTGAGTAACAGGCCACGCCTAGGGTAACAGTATTTTCCTCGGGATGATGTTTTTACTGTTACCCACAAACCCATATGTTATTAATATTGTAACGTGCACGGGCTAGCTGTTATATATAATTTTTCTTATGGCTACTTTGCCAGTTGATTAGTTACAAATGATTAAACAATGATTTGTTCAAACTTTGGAATCAAGTTTAATTAACTTATGTTATAACAGTTATGTCCTTGAAAGATAATAAGTGGTCCTGAAACTTGATAAAAATTTGGGGTGACACTTTTTAGGCTATTTAATATATATAGAAAAACCACTTGGATATCGAGTTTTCAATACTTTAGTAATAACAATTACACCTAACGCAATGTTGAATTGATGCAATTGAAATACTTCGTAAATAGCGCAAGAACCCAAGTAATTAAACTAAAATATTAATTAATTATTTCTGTGGTGTTGACACTTCGGCAGCTGGACAGAGACTGATTGTCCGCAGCTTTGAGCTCTATTTATATCCAATAATGTAGTTATATTTAATGATCGTTTACTGAAGTTGAAGAAATCAAGCATCTAAGAGATATTGATAATGGGTCGAATATTAGTACTAATGGCATTGAGTTTGAATGATTTAAAGGACGCATTGTTCCTGATATTTTAGAAATAACAAAAATATGCCCGTTATATCAAATAATTGCTACGAGAAAGTTGTTTAATCTATTCACTTAATTTTTATGTATTTTTTACTCATTTATAAAAGATCAAACTATAATTTTAAACCCAAGATAACATATTTGTTTATAATTTAATTCACCGACAATTTAGGTACAAAACAACTAAATCATTATAGAATCTAGGCAGTATAGAACAATCGTCACATTACCCCCGTCTCTCAAAAATCATGCGTCCCGCATGATACGTATTATTTGAAAATATATTATAACTGTTATTCAATAAAATAATCAAAGACATATGTGTTTTTCTTTAATTCTGCTTATATCACCAGAATGATCATACTTTTAATAACAAAGCACATAGTTCGGGATCATAATCCCAGTTTTCTTCTCCACATCATGTTTCTTAACTTATCTACCTTTATTTAATTTGAATCACTTTGTCATCTTTGAAAATCAGACTCTAGCCCATGTTTTATTTTCATATGTCTCTTCAGATACTGTAATTTAAGGAAAACCTTACTACATCTTGTGCAGGTTCTTCTCTTTTCATGACTCTTTCTACATTCAGTTATATGTCCTTCGAAGTTAACAGTCTTCGGAATGCTCGTCTTACATACAGGGCACAGTGGTCGCATAATCTGGTTTTCATTTTTCACACTGCCTCCTTTTCTTTCGCTTGTCTTTGTCCCCGCCATTGAAGTACTTAAAATAGAACTTTCATAATGCTTAGCCCTATCTCGATTTTTACGTTGTTTTCTTTTTGTTTCTACTTGAACATTATCTTTCTGCTTTACTTCTGGTCCTGTCTCTCTACATTTGACAGTCGTAGATTCAGAAGATTTATCGACTTCATCGGATAGATCAATGCCAAAGCACCCTATTTTACCGGTACAATATAAATTAACAATATGCCCTATCAATTTCATTGTATTTCTAATAACATCATTACAAACACCATACTGTTGCATAAAATCAAGACCTAAAGCAACATCATTTCCGATTTCAGCTACTACAACCTTGGTCTTATAAAGGTGTCTTTTAAACCTCAGGTCTATCTCTGTTTGTCCCTTGATTTTTAATAGATCACCACTTGTTGATGATACAGAAAGTTTAAAAGGTATAATTTTGTTATTGCTCTTAAGTTTAAGCCAAAGATTTTCTGAGGTACAGCATGCCTTACTGCATCATTCAAATCAATGGGTCTAGCTTGTTTTATCTTGAGACGCATGTCTGAATTTACAAGTGCATCAATGAATTGTTCTTTAGCTAAAGTGTCACGAACATCTATAGGAGCATGAGGGTACGCCAAGTTTGCAAGACGACGAACATCTTGTCCAAGTTCAGCCATTGATTCAGTAGCTTTTTGATGTCTATCTCTCAACTGAACTCTAATTAACTCAGTCTGATTTCTTGGTGAAAATCTATCTTCGAGTGCTCTCACAAGTTCCTCATAATTGTGTGTCTTTGATGTCAAATTTCCGAACACTCCTTGAGCTTGGCCTCGTAAGGATACAGATAAGTATAAACCTTTCTCATTTTCATTCCAACCATTCAAAGTTGCACAAGCGTCAAGTTCCGTCATAAGTTGCAGGTTTCATGAAAGTAGACCTTGAATCTTTTACTTTGTAATCAAAACTTTTGTCTGAAGCTTGATTGTTATCCAATTTCTGTTGTTCTTTTGGAGTTTCAGGGGGTAGCAAGTCAACAATCCTCCGTCTTTGGGTGATCATTGGTCTTTCACATCCCTCTCATGTTTTTCACTTTGAACAGGCAATGAAGGCAAAATACGTCTAGGCTTTGAGGTAGTCTTTCTACTTGGTGTAAAACCTTCATAAGTATTCTCTGTTTTTACCATGACAGGTGTTGATGTAGTCAGCTCAATACTTGTCTGGTCAATTTGTCTTTGAAGACTATCAATCTCTCTCTGGAGTTTCAGCCTACGATTCTCATTCCTAAGATTTTCCATTTCATCATACATATAACAAAAGTCTTTATCGGACCATTTACTTCTATACTCAGCCATGTTCTTAAAAGTCTAGGGTAAGTAAGCCTATCGTTAGCTAGAATTGTCCCCCGTTGGGCGCCAATTTTATAACGTGCACGGGCTAGCTGTTATATATAATTTTTCTTATGGCTACTTTGCCAGTTGATTAGTTACAAATGATTAAACAATGATTTGTTCAAACTTTGGAATCAAGTTTAATTAACTAATGTTATAACAGTTATGTCCTTGAAAGATAATAAGTGGTCCTGAAACTTGATATAAATTTGGGGTGACACTTTTTAGGCTATTTAATATATATAGAAAAACCACTTGGATATCGAGTTTTCAATACTTTAGTAATAACAATTACACCTAACGCAATGTTGAATTGATGCAATTGAAATACTTCGTAAATAGCGCAAGAACCCAAGTAATTAAACTAAAATATTAATTAATTATTTCTGTGGTGTTGACACTTCGGCAGCTGGACAGAGACTGATTGTCCGCAGCTTTGAGCTCTATTTATATCCAATAATGTAGTTATATTTAATGATCGTTTACTGAAGTTGAAGAAATCAAGCATCTAAGAGATATTGATAATGGGTCGAATATTAGTACTAATGGCATTGAGTTTGAATGATTTAAAGGACGCATTGTTCCTGATATTTTAGAAATAACAAAAATATGCCCGTTATATCAAATAATTGCTACGAGAAAGTTGTTTAATCTATTCATTTAATTTTTATGTATTTTTTACTCATTTATAAAAGATCAAACTATAATTTTAAACCCAAGATAACATATTTGTTTATAATTTAATTCACCGACAATTTAGGTACAAAACAACTAAATCATTATAGAATCTAGGCAGTATAGAACAATCGTCACAATATATTGACAGTTTTTAGAACAGTTTACAAGGTGTATTCTTAAACACGGAGCAGTTACGTGTAAGAAAAACAAGACATTTAAGAACCGCAATGTTCGTCCGTACGTATCCCTTTTTCTATCCGTCCGCCAGCCGCCAGTTATTCCGTATGTCAAATATTTTCCTGGTTTACGGTTATATTTATTATTAACTTAATTCACAGCTAATGATGTATTGATACACATTCATGGGTTGTTAAAAGAAATTCCAACATGTTTTATTTAATACTTGCCTTATCTTGTTTTCTATGTATATAAAATATAAACATTACTTTTTTCTTTATATTTTTCACGTGAGCAGTCGCATCTGCTTTATAAATAGGCTATGTTTTGTCTGCTTATAAATGAAAATAAA